GCCTACCCAGGTTGCTCAGGGTCATATAGTAATAGCAATAGCACTTAGACTTTATATACCGCTTCACAGTGCTTTACAGCCCTCTCTAAGCAGTTTACAGAGTCAGCAATTTGCACCCAACAATCTGGGTCTTCATTTGACTGACCTCGGAAGGATGGAAGGCTGACTCAACCTTGGGCCAGTCAGGATCAAACTGCTGGCAGTTTGCAGAATTAGCCTGCAATGCTGCATTGTAAGCACTGTGAAAGAAAGAGGAAGGAAGAAAGGAAGGAAGGAAAGAGAGAGAGAGAGAGAAAGAAAGAAAGAAAGAAAAAGGAAAGAAAGAAAGAAAGAAAGAAAGAAAGAAAGAAAGAAAGAAAGAAAGAAAGAAAGAAAGAAAGAAAGAAAGAAAGAAAGAGCGAGCAATAGCTCTTAGGCTTATATCCCGCTTCACAGTGCTTCACAGCCCTCTCTAAGCGGTTTACAGAGTCAGCAATTTGCCCCCAACAATCTGAGTCCTCATTTTACCGACTTCAGAAGGATGGAAGGCTGAGTCTACCTTGAGCTGATGAGAATTGAACTGCCAAACTGCTAGCAGCCGGCAGTCAGCAGAAGTAGCCTGCAGTGCTGTATTCTAACCACTGCACCGCCACGGCTTCATTGTTGAAGCAGCTTTAGAGAATGCTCTTTCTCAACCTCTGCAGCCTCTGAAAACTGCTGGAAAGCAGGCTCTGTTCCTGCATGGTTTTTGGAGGCACTGGAGGCTGTGCAAGAGTGTGGCCCTTTTGCGTGACTTTCTGGAGAGTCTGGGGGCCGTATCAGAGCCCATCCCATTCTTTTGTGGCCTGCACAGTCTCCAGAAACTCATGCAAAATTGGGGCATGCTTTTGAGAATAGTTATTGGGTGTTAGTGAATGCTGCCATGTCACCAAAACAACATGGTGTGTTACCTTTGACACACGTATCATACATTTGCCATCACTGGTTTAGAAGATACAGGGAAGGCCATCTTGCATGCGGTTGTTTCCTTCCAAGCTTCACTTTCCAACATCTGACTCCTGATATGAACATCTGCCTCTGCCTGCTTTAGGGCCAGTTTTTCAAGAAAGGGAAAGTGCCTCAAGCTGGTCCCAGTGGGAGAAAAAATATTGGACTGCTTGAACTCCTAGCTTGGATCAGTTTTGAAGAAAGAGTAAGAAACTCAGTGCTACACTTTTGGTGACGGATGCCTTAAGCCAGGGCTGTCAAACTCAATTTCATTGAGGGCCGCATCAGCATTGCGGTTGTCCTCAGGGGGCCAGGTGGGTGTGGCCAAGGTGGTGCGGCTTACTGGGTGGGCGTGGTCAGCTCTACATTGTCCGCATCAAGGGTGCTGTGGGGGCCTGGGCAGGAGTGGGGACAGATCTGAGGGTCTCTGGCGAAGGGGATGGGACCAGGGCAAGCACCAAGGCATGGTCCATTTCTTCATTCCTACAAAGGGTGACACCTCCCCAGCATGCACCCAGGGGGCTGGGCCGACGCGGCAGGGGCTGGTTCCTCGTTGTTTCTGGACGGCCTTGTGGAGCTAAGACTGAATGCGTTTCAGGATAGATGGCCACCACAAAATTGTACATTGGCTCCCGGCCGGCCTGGGCCCGGGCCAAGGCAGCGGGGCCCGTTCCCTCACTGTTTCCAGGATGGTTTCGTGGGCTGCATGAAACCACTTCGCGGGCCGCATCCGGCCCCCAGGCCTTGTGTTTGACATGTCTGCCTTAAGCCTACCCATTTACTGCTACAGCTAGGCTTGTGAAATAGTTTGATGAGTTTCATGGAAGTTGGAATTTGAGATAAGCCAGTATTTATGCATGTGGATAATTTTGGTAGGCTAACCCAGGTAATATGCAAGGAGATGGTGTGTAAGATGAGCTAATAACTTTATGGCTATTTTTGCAACACTGGGCTCCCTTCTTCTTGACCTAAACCAGGGGTAGGCAACCTTGGCTCTTTTATGACTCGTGGACGTCATATTTTTTATTTATTTATTTATTTATATTTGAATTTATATCCCGCCCTTCTCCCGTAGGACTCAGGGCGGCTGACAATCTATTTAAAATACATACAAAACAATACAAATTTAAAATTAATTAAAAGGAATATTAAATATTTGTCGAATTTAAAATATAATTAAAACCCCCCTAAAAATTACCCTAGGCCAGTCCTGCAAGCTGGAATAACCAGCTTGCAGGACAGGGCTTAAGTGAGCTGGGTGGGTTTATGTCAACATGGTGGTGAGAGAATCAGTAGCCAAATTGCTTTGTCCAAACACATGGATCTTTTACCTCATGCTTTGTAAACAAGAATCCCTTGTCAAACGTTTCTGGAGACTTTGCCAAAATTGAAAAGACGGATGAAGATAATAAAATCTCTAAACTGAGCTTATTACCATGCCCGTGGGCAAAGGAAGAACAAACAGTGAAGAACAGGGTGCATGTTATAAATTCTCACTATCCCTTTGCAGACATTCTTTCTATTTTCCAGCAAGCCTGAGCCACTCCATGTCTTCCTTTGAAATCTGGGTGATTTTGGACCATTCATTCACTCTCTCTACCTTTGTGGAAATAGGAAAAGAGATTTATTTAATAATAATAATAATAATAATAATAACAACAACAACAACAACAACAACAACAATAATAAATAAAGTTGGAAGGGACCTTGGAGGTCATCTAGTCCAGTGGTGGTGAACCTATGGCACGGGTGCCAGAGGCGGCACTCAGAGCCCTCTCTGTGGGCACACGCGCTGTCACCCCAGTTCTAGCCCTTCAGTTGGGTTTTATAAAACCTTTTCACTTTAGGCCTCCGCTGCCGTGTACAAAAAAAAAAGGTTCAATCAATCAGAATTTCAACTTCTTGTGGGGGAAAAAAAAGATCTTACAAAGTTGGAATTGATTGATTGAACTTTTTAGTCCCACCCAGTCTGCTATTACCACCGCAGCCACACCCACCCAATGGGCCACACCCACCCAATCAGCCACACCCACCCAGCACCTGACGATGCATAAGTGGGTTTTGGGTTGCAGTTTGGGCACTCGGTCTCTAAAAGGTTTGCCATCACTGATCTAGTCCAACCCCTTGCTCAGGCAGGAAACCCTATACCATTTCAGACAAATGGCTGTCCAGTCTCTTAAAAACTTCCAGTGTTGGAGCATTCACCACTTCTGGAGGCAGGTTGTTCCACTGGTTAATTGTTCTAACTGTCAGGAAGTTTCTCCTTAGTTCCAGGTTGCTTCTTTCCTTGATTAGTTTCCATCCGTTGCTTCTTGTCCTGCCTTCAGGTGCTTTGGAGAATAGCTTGACTCCCTCTTCTTTGGGGCAGCCCCTGAGATATTGGAACACTGGTATCATAAATAAATAAATTTGTTTATTTATCGTATGGCACATTCACATCACATTTTGATAAAAACGCAAGAGATAAAAATACAAAACATAAAATATAAACCTATGAACTAGATTACAGATATAATTTTTTGTTTCATTTGTCACAGCCAGGAAATCAGCAAAGTCTCCATAATAGAAAGGAGTGTTATGCATGATATCTTGAGTAATTTAAAATAACAGCAGGATACAAAGCTAATAGATGAGCATTACGTATTTAATTCAAATAGAATAGAATAGAATTCTTTATTGGCCAAGTGTGATTGGACACACAAGGAATTTGTCTCTGATGTGTAAGCTTATTATTAATTATCATATTAATTATAATTAATATTATATTAACTAATTAATATTAAATATTAATAATATTTATATTAATTATATTATTATCATCCATTATAGGCTACATTGCTGGACAACAGTGAGGTAGATTAAATATAAAAAATAACTATATAAATAACGTTTTAGCCTCCCTGCTCTCACTCCAAAAAGCGGAAAGAGAAAGTTGGAAGTATTAAAAAAAAACAAAAAACCAGTTCAAGGGATCCAGAATGCTACACAAGGTAGAAATGATCTATTCAGAAAGGCCAGAGAAGAGAAAAACAGACTGAGTTTTGCAATTTTCCATGAGTGCACAATAGACCCTGGGAATTGAACAAACTGGTGTGTGTGGGATAAACATCTCCATGTTTGCTCAGGCCAAAGCATCTTTGTAGAACTTGTGTGTTTTGCAATAATAGCACTGTAATGAAGATGATAATACAGTGATGAAGATGATGATTTAATCGGTACACTCTTCAACTCCCAGCCAATGTTCAAAGCTCTGTCTACCTTACAAAGGGTCATTCAGAATAGACAGGTTGAAGGAGAGTGGCAGATTTGATAGATTTAAGGAGGAGCTGATATTTTAGTTCATTCACTGACCAGCTACAGTCTTCGGTTTAACCGGTGCTGTTGCACCCCCGTGAGGTAGAAAATATCCATGCAATGCATTTAATTCAAACGTTTCCTTGAGCTGGCAAATAACAAGAGCAGGTCTAAAAAGCAGAGCCCTCAAAGAAGAAAGGTCAATCCTTGGAGCCAGTAAGCAAAGAAGCAGAAGGAGGAGGGGAGAAGTACAGGGCTGAGGGCTGAACAGTAGAGTCAGATGGTCCAAGATTGTGAACTAATACAATCTCATATGAATTTAACAGATAATAACAAAATAACAGAGTTGGAAGGGATCTTGGAGGTCTTCTAGTCCAACTCTCTGCTCAAGCAGGAAACCCTATACCATTCCAGACAAGTGACTGTCCAGTCTCTTCCTAAAAGTACCCCGCTCTTCAAGTGCAAGGCTTCTAGGTCTATATTTCCAAAGCTCCTTCTTGGAATCAGTGGTTGCTGAACAATCATTGACTGGCCAGGAGAACTACCTGGCAGAAAGCATTTGCTCTTGAATGATTGTTTCTAAGCTTTTCCTCCATAGCTAAATATTTTACCTTTTTAACATTGTCACGTCTTTCCATGCTTTCAAAAGAACACATTTGCGAGGAATAGATGGGAGCAGATTTCTTTTCCCTTCTTCCCTTCTCTTGCTCTCATGTGTCTCTTCTCCCCACAGGTGGAAACCCTCCAGCATGACTTCCAACTCTGAAAACCGGAACACCTACATTACAGTTTACATGCTCACTGTCCTAATTGGCTTCCCCACCAACCTGTTGGCCCTCTATGCTTTCATCCAGAAGATTAGAGTCAAGGCCACACCCAACTGCATCCTTCTCCTCAATCTGACCATTTCTGATCTCTGCTTCCTGGTTTTCCTCCTCTTCAAGCTTGCCGAGCAGATTGCTGGCCGCTGGGCCTTCCCCACTTTTCTTTGTCCCTTTAGTGGTCTTGTCTACTTCAGCACCATCTATTCTAGCACGCTCTTCCTCACTGCGGTAAGCGTGGAGCGCTATCTGGGGGTAGCGTACCCCATCCATTACAAGCTGAGGCGTCATACAGCCTATGCCCTCATTGCCAGCCTGAGCCTTTGGATCTGCTCTTTTGGCCACTGCAGCATTGTGTATATCACTGAGTTGAAACGGGAAAACTATTCCCTACCAAGTGTGCCCAACAGCAATGTCTGTTACGACAATTTCACAGAGAAGCAACTCCAGCTCCTGCTCCCTGTTCGCCTGGAGCTCAGCATTGTACTTTTCCTAGTGCCATCCCTGATCACCTGCTTCTGCTATTTTGGCTTTATAAGAATCGTGCTCTCTTCACCGCACATCTGCAGGAGCAAAAAGCAACGATCTGTGGGGCTGGTAGCAGCCACTTTAACTATCTTCATTGTCTGTTTTACACCCTACAACATCTCCCATGTGGTGGGTTTTGTTGAGTGGAAAAGTCCCGACTGGAGAATCAACGTCTTGCTTCTCAGCACTTTCAATGCCTGCTTGGACCCCATCATCTTTTATTTTTCTTCTTCCGCTGTGCAGCGTTCATGCCGTAGCTTTTGGACCAGAATAAAACAGATTTGCACGTTGCCTCCTTTGCTCCATAAGCTCTTCAATAGAGGGACTGAGAGGACAGGTCCTCAGGAGCAGGTGTGCTCTTCCCGGCTATGACCTCCCGTTTCTTGGAAGATTGTTAAATCCTGTCTTTGTAGGTCAAGTGGGCTGGCAAAAACAGTTCTGGGAATTTACTGACATTTCCAGCCAGGCCTCCAGACTTGAAGCTTTCACATTGTGAATGTTGTTAATTGTAATTTTGGCAGCTTTGAGTTGGAGAATCTTAGCTAGACTTCTCATCTCTTCATTCTTGAAACTTAGAAATAATATTGCACAACTGCTGCCCCCATAGACTGATTGAAAATGGGTTTCATTAAAGCAAAAAAAGAAAATGGTGAAATATGTTGAGAACTTCAAATGTACAGTACATACTCAGGTACTCCAGGCCTAATTGCGAAATGAATTTTGGAGTTGTTCCATTCTATCATTTGAGTCTTAATGGTATCCAAGAGATTTTCCTTGCATTCTTTCCATCTTTATCTAACTGGAGATATACATAATTTGCAAAAGAGCTTTTATTTCAGCTAAGATATTGTTGCGATTCTCATGGCAATAGACAATGAATTGAGAATCTTGGGAAATGTAGAACCTGATGCCTAGATAGCACTACGCAAGACAATAGCATCATCTAGGAACTAGGGAAGGTCCTCATATGAGATATCCTTGTTGTTACATCTGGTAGATAATTTTTTTAAAAAGCCACAAGAGGGCATATGTAGCAAGAACGTGAGAGGAAAAGAACAGTTTTGAAATAAGCAGTTGAAATAGGTCTGTCTCATAAATAAGTCTGTCTCATAAATAAGATGTTGAATAGGTCGGTCTCATAAATAGGTCTGTCATAAATAAGATGTTGAATTATTTGCTTTCATATTAACAGAGTTAATTTTTTCTTTTAAAAAGTCTGCATCAGAATAAGTAATATATTTTTGTGATTATTTAACAAACTCTCTGAAGTCTTTTTGCTCTTTGAATGATCTCGCCTGGTTTATCATTGGGAAAAAAACACAAGAAAGATTATACATTCAATAATATAAGGTTTACTAGAAATAAATGGGCTTACATGTTCTGTGAAATCCCAGAAAGAGAAGCTACCCAGGAGTTCCATGCCATTCAGTAGGAGAAGGATTTGTGCCATTGATTTGGATTCCCAACCATAGAGCACATTTTGTATTAGAAGAAAGAAATTCTGTTTGCCCCCAGTAAAAGCGTTCCTTGGTGAAAATCCCCAAGGACAGGGAATGCAGCTTTAATCCACAATAGAGTGGGGGAAGACATGATTCCAGGGTTCCAGTATCTCAGGGGCTGCCACAAAGAAGAGGGAGTCAAGCTATTCTCCAAAGCGCCTGAAGGCAGGACAAGAAGCAACGGATGGGAACTAATCAAGGAGAGAAGCAACCTAGAACTAAGGAGAAACTTCCTGACAGTGAGAACAATTACGGTAATCAGTGGAACAACCTGCCTCCAGAAGTTGTAAATGCTCCAATACTGGAAGTTTTAAAGAAGAGATTGGACAGCCATTTGTCTGAAATGGTATAGGGTTTCCTGCCTGAGCAGGGGTTGGATTACATCAGGGGTCCCCAACCCCCGGTCCATGGTCCGGCACTGGGCCATGGCATACCAGCAACCAAGTGAAGCCCCATCCACTGGATGCAGGCAGCACACGAAACCATGCCCCCTCTGGTGCATGGAAAATTATTTCTCCACAGAACCAGTCCTTGGTGCCCAAAAGGTTGGGGGCCTCTGGACTAGATGACCTCCAAGGTCTCTTCCAACATCATCATCATCATCATCATCATCATCATCATCATCATCATCATCATCATTATTATTATTATTATTATTATTATTATTATTATTATTATTATTATTATTATTATTATTATTATTATTATTATTATTATTATTATTATTATTATTATTATTATTATTATTATTATTATGGTACTTCCCCCATATTCAGCCTCCCAAGTCATTTGAACAATAACTAATTATACAAATAGTGTTATGTCTACTTAACCAGTCCATAGAGCTGTGTTTCTCAACCTTGGCAATTTTAAGATGTGTGGATTTCAGCTCCCACAATTCCCTTGGGAATTCCCCCCCTGGGAATTCTGGTACGATACTGGTATAAAAGGAGGGTGTATGTTGCCTTGAGTTCTTTTCCCATTAAATGCACACTTTTAGCCATATCACACCAAGACGTTGTACAATGTGGTTTGAAGCACAGCTGATAAATGTTTTCCCCATACAATGACACAAAGAACGATGACCTGTTTGGTTTTTCAAACCTTGTAAGGTGTAGGCTATGCTAAGCAAAAAAAGCAAAGTCCCAGAAATGCTTTTCACCTATGCCTCCAAGGATTTTCCTATCTGCAGAAAGTGCAAAACATCTAAGGGCTCAAGTAGACTTTACATTAATTTCCCAAAGCGCATAGCTAAATGTCTGTGGAGATTCTCAGTCATCCAGGTCATAGTTATCCCAAAGATGCTTTTTCATGAGGCAACTAGACTTTGTTTTTCTCTTAAAATATTTCACTTCTCATCCAAGAAGCTTCTTCAGCTCTGACTGGATGGCAGGGAATGGAAAGATTTAGACTCCTTGCAGACAGCTGGTCAATAGATAAACCTCCAGGTGGCCTCAATGACTCTCTAAAAGAATGCAAATGACCAACTGTCTGTAAGGAGTATAAATCTTTCTATTCCCCACCATCCAGTCAGAGCTGAAGAAGCGTCTTGGATGAGAAGTGAAACATCTTCAAAGAAAAACAAGAAATTCCAGTTGCCTGGAAAGCACCTTTGGGATTAATTTCCCGGCAGAAAGCATATCATAAATGGGAGCCTTTGATATAAATGGGAGCGAGCTAACTGTTGCGGCTGGAATAAAAGCTGATTTTTTATTGGGCTCCAATTGTATTTTTGTTTTTGTTTTTCCTCCATGGGTTAACCCTCTCCGGGACACCAACAAGGCAAAACCGAACAGAAGAAAAAACTGGATGCTCCTGGATGCTCTTGTTCTCCAGCCAAAACCACCACATAATTTGGAAAGTGATTGGTGATGGTCCTTCCCTGCTAGAGGATGTTGCTGGAGGGAGAAGAATTGAGATCCTGGATTTGCATTAAATCTCTGAGGCAGGGGTCTTCAAACTTGACAACTTTAAGACTTGTGGACTTCAACTCCCAGAATTCCTCAGCCAGCCAAGTTGCCAAGTTTGAAGACCCACTTTGCATCTTAAGAAGACAGAACTCTTGAAATATTTCTTCCAACAGGCATCTTTATTAAGAGAAAATGGTTGCAGGCGTTCTAGACAGGACCTGGGGCCAAAGCCCTACGGTTCAAGGTTTTAAGGGGTCCCCAGCAGCTCCACCCCACCTCACCATCCTTCCAGTGACAATCCCAGGTGTTACATTTCCCCCCCTTTTCCCTCACTGCCGGAGGAAGGGAGACTTCAGAGGGGATTAGATGAAAGCTGATAGCCCCATTGTTAAGATTAGTCCTTTTGGTGGTATCCACATTCAGTCCCTTTGAAGTTGTACTGAAGGAAGTGAGGGCCATAAAACCCCTTTGTTCACCCCCCTTCCCCTTCATCGTATGACAGAATCCAGAGAGGGCAGAAATGGGGTTTTCCATAGTCGATAACTAGAGATGAAATATAATTGGATTCTGACAGCTAAAGTACAATAAAAGTCTGCTGTGGGAAGATTCTGTCAATCCTTTCCATGTCTGGGGATAAAAATGTAATTTGAATATATGCCTCAGACCTGCCCCTTCCTAGTTCTCATGATGCCAGCCCTTCAGGGTAGACCAAACTAAGATGTCAGAATTAAGAATGCAAATACTACTTTATTACAAGATTACCATCACATAATCTGGCAAATCTAAATGTGTTTCCAACTTCCTTCTCCTTATCTTCATGAGAGCTGGGGAGGGTCATGTTAGTTTTGCAATATCTAAAGATATTGCCACAAAGAAGAGGGAGTCAACTTATTCTCCAAAGCACCTGAAAGCAGGATGAGAAGCAACGGATGAAAACTAATCAAGGAGAGAAGCAGTGCTTTTTTTCTATAAAAAAAAAAAGGTGCTGGAACTCACACATGTCATACAACCCGCCTTGCATACCCTACAAGGTTCCATCCAAAAAAGGTGCCAGAACTCCGTTCTGTGCGTTCTATGACAAAAAAAGCCCTGGAGAGAAGTAATCTAGAACTAAGGAGAAATTTCCTGATGGTTGGAACAATTAATCAGTAGAACAACCTGCCTCCAGAAGCGGTGAATGCTCCAACACTGGAAGTTTTTAAGAAGAGACTGGACAGCCATTTGTCCGAAATGGTTTCCTGCCTGAGCAGGGGATTGGACTAGAAGATCTCCCAGGTCCCTTCCATTATTCTGTATTCTGAGATGCTTTCTTCAAATTACATTTCTCTGATTTCTTTTGTCTGACTGTCGCCTTGGTTGTGGGCTCTTCCTCTGGTTCCTCAAGGTTATTTCTACTGCCCATTACAGCAGGACTTCCAGCCAGCTGTGGATATTCTGTTAATAATGGTCCATCATTGACTTATGGTGCTAGGAAAGATGTGATCAACGGCCTGGAGATCCATATTATTAGTAGTCTGGAGGGTGTCAACTTTTCCTGATGACACCAAATAACTTTCTAAGGCAGGGGTGTCAAACTGCTGGCCCGTGGGCCGGACGCGTCACATGGAAGCCATGCCCACCCCATTGCCAGCAATGGCAAAAACCGGCCCGACACGTTGCGCGATGTCACGTGACGTCGCGAGTTTGACATGTCTGTTCTAAGGGATAAGAAATGATATTGGAATGGGAATAACAGCCTTCCTTCCTTCCTTTTTTAAAAAAATGAACATATTGTTTGCACAACAACCTATTGAGATGAGCTGAAGGAAAAGCATGAGAGATGCTGAGCATCTGATTCCCCTCTTTTTCTTCCCTTTGTTTTAAAATGGGTAGAAGTGGTTAAAGAGGGAAAGCAAAATGAGGCCAAGTGTAGAGATTCACAATCTTTACTTTACTTTTCTGTGCCTCTCGCTTCTCATACATTGTACATAAAAAAAAAAAGCAA